ATTTCAGATTTATATTAATCAATTTCAAGGTCAGCAGATGTAACAGTGGAAAAATTGTAAAAAAGTAATAAAACCACTTCACATGCATAATGATCCAAAGCATAAACTGTGCTTATAGACACTATGTCCTTTTATTCACTTATACATTTTATCCTACCATTCTTTGGAGTACCAAGGCAGATAAAAGAATTTCGAAGGCTAAGATTAGAGTGGTAAGACCCATTTATAATGCTTTGATTTTTGTTCATAGTTTGATTTTTAAAACAGGGAACATGATTAATTTCTAACTTAACAATGTTTAGAAAGTGACAAAAAAGAAAGGCATTTATTTTTAAAAGTTAAGAAGCACTGTTGGATACAAAGGAGGATAACAAATAATGGTTGATTCCTAAGGATACACAATTTTATTACAGATGTTAAAAGTCAGAGTAACAAAATTTTCCATGGGGTTTTACACTGGTTCTTTAGAAGAAAAATACCAGGGAATCATACATAACTGGAAGATGATACAGAACTTCACATCAAGCACCTGTGGTCTGAGATGTACTTGAAGCTATGTCTTCACTCAATTAAAGACTATGCAGAAGGGCTGGCAAGACAGTACAATAGGCAAGGTGCTTGCCTGGTACGCAGCTGACCTGGGTTTCATCTCTGGCACCCCATACAGCCCCCCTAAGCACTGCCAAGAGTGATCCCTGATCACTGAGCCAGGAGTAAGCCCTGAGCACTGTTGAGTATGGACTAAAACCGAAAGAGAGAGAGAGGGAGGTGATGGAAGGAGGGAGGGAGGGAGAAGGAGAAAGATTATGGGTTCTTTTTAGCTGTATAAACAAGACTGGAGGTTAGGAAAACAAGAGATTAGGAAGGTCAATTTGGAAATTAAAAAAAATAATTTGGAGCAGTACGTTTATAAATGAGATGAAGATATATTGAAACCTCAACAAAGAGACTTAGACTTGAAATAACATAAGAGTTGCTTAGAAAATAATAAAACCAAGCTCAGAATAATGGTACAGCAGGGAAGGCTGTTTACCTTGCACACAGGCAACCTGGGTTCGATTTCTGGCATACCATATGGTCATCTCTCCCCACTCTCTACCTGGTCCATGAAGCACTGCTAGGACTAATTCGGAGTGCAGAACCAGGAGTAACCCCTGAGCACCACCAGGTGTGGGCCAAAGGGCAAAACAGTAATAAGAAAAGAAAAGGACAGAACAATTTGTAGAGAAAAAATAACTGGATGCTTTTATATTCTATTGTTTAGAGTTAAAAACTCCCAGGGATACTTTGTTGATTAGTAAGAAATTACAGCTATTCAAGAAATTGAACCTTACCACTCTATTTAAAGTCCTCCCCCCACACACACACACTTTGGTGGGGGGTGCACACACAGCAGTGGTCAGGTGCTATTCCTTACTCTGCACTCAGGAAATATTCCTGGCGGGCTCAGGGGACCATAAGGGGTGCCTGGGAATGAATCGGGCTTGGCCATGTGCAAGGCAAGCACTCTACCTGCTGTACTATCACTCCGGCATCAAAATGTTTTAGAATGGCGAGAATTTAATTGAAAAACTTGAAACATGTTGAATTTTTTAAACTGAGCTATTTTAAAGCAAATTTTAAAAAGTAAAAAATAAAATTTCCAGCAGTCAGAAAACCAGAAAATGGCTTATCCGTTAAGGTTATAATTTAATCTGATTGTAAATTATTATTTAGAAATGTGAAAGTTGAATTCCATTCCTAATGACTGGCATAGCTCTTACGCTATTCTTAGCACGAAACTTGGCACTTTGACATTATACTGATGTCAACTCAATCTAGAATAGGAACTCAAGTTATTTACTACTGAAATAAAAAGTGTTTGTTGAATACTGTCACAGCATTCCAAATTTCACATTCACTTTGAAGCCATCTCTTTTCTTTACACACACACACACACACACACACACACACACACATAATTTAAATGTATTATGGAAAAAGTACAATAAACAGAATTATGAAACCCATGAAAGCATGGCCAAATTTCAACTATCGACTTTCTGACAATGTTGGTTCCAGACCCTATTTTTTTAAATATTAAAAAAAAATCAGAAACCAATATATACAGAAATATTTTAAAATGTATGTTTAACAGATATAAATTTATATCAAAGGACATTAAAGGAAACTTTTTTTTTTCTGTTTTAACTCAATGATTCAAAACAAAATCTTGAGTGTCAGTAACCTTCAACTCATCTTTCTCTCATATGCATAGGGCTAATTTAATAAAAGCATTGCTGGATAAATTCTGATCCTGCCCTGCTAACTTACCTAAATTATACTCCCCCATCCCTTTTTTTACTTTTGCCTCTTGTATGGTCACCCATAGCTCCCTAACTAGCCTTCCTAACATGCCAGACTTCAGAGTCTCTACCTAGTTGATTTCTCTGCTTGAAACATCTTTCCTCCCTATATCCACAAATCTGTCATTTACTTGAGGTCTCTTTGAATTTAACCCTATTAAAAATGCTTATGCTATCAAATCTATACAACGTAACAGCAACAGCCATCTCTGCCATTATCTATCCCCTATTGCCTTTTCTCCATCAGTATCTGATACTTTTCTTCTGCTAGATTATAAACTCAGGGAAAGGTGATGTTTTGTTGCTTTTTTTATTTACTACTGTTTCACTAGATTCCAAAAACAGTACTGACAAAAGGCAGACAGGTAGTAGAATAAGTATGTAAGACTCAAAATAATTTGATAATCATTTGGGTAACTTGATAGCTAATAGATTAGGATAGAATTTTAAAACTTTTTCTAAAGAATGTGAAATAAATGAGGCTCTAGATTTGATCTGATATGCTCTCCCAACAAAGAAGGGGGAAAAAATAATATGAAACAATAAGTTATTTAAATTTGGGAAGACTAGTTAAGAGCTTTTCAAAAAAAGTGATGTTGGGGCCAGAGTTATAGTACAGCAGGTAGAGAGTTTGTCTTTCACATAGCCCACCTGGGTTCAAGCCCTGGCATCCCATATGATACCTGGGGCATCTCCAGGAGTAATTCCTGACTGCAGAGCCAGGAAAACCCCTGAGTATTGCCAGGTGTGATCCAAAAAGCCCTCCACACCAAAAAAAGGTGATGCCTATTAAAGACATTTAATTCAAATTCTAGAATGTGTTCTATGCAAGACATATGTACTCGAAGACCTCTAACTATATTTAAGAGTCATTTTATTGCGTCAAATCTACATTCAGCATCTCGAAATCAAACTAAACAATAGCAAAGACTGGCAACATGAAGACCCACAATCAAAAAATAATCAACTCTCTAATCTACACATTACTTACTAGTGGACCTTGCCTTTCTTAGATATAGGCTAATAAATCAAGCTATAAATTTCAGTATCCTCATGACATGTGCACGTGTTAATGAAACACCTTGTGTTTCAGCAGAGGATGGGAGGAGAGGGTTATGGCAGCTATCTTATCATTCAGCAGAAAAAAATGCAGAACTTGGAAATGAAGACCTAGAAGGGATTTCCTGGCTCTTCCACATGTGCATACGTGTTGCTACAATACTCAGGTCATACCAGATACACCTTCAAAGTCTCTCTTGAGTGTAGCCATCTATTATCCTAGACCTGCAATACTCATCTATTATTCTCGACCTGCAATACCCATCCAAGGAGAGAAGCGACCTGCAGTGTGGGTCAGAGAGCAGTGGGCCATTTACTCGCTGTGTACTAGCCATGCAAGTTCAGCAAGTCACGGAAGCTCTCGCAAGCAGCGTCCTCCTTATGTACAAGAAGCTGGCAGGCTGGGCAAAGTTGCACAAAAGGGCTGGCGAGAACCGGTCCAATGCCTTGCAAAGCCCAGAGGACAGCACCCTGTTTTTCCCCCGCAGCTATTACCTTGCTCTAGTGTGACTATTCTTTCCCCAACGGAGGTGGCAACCTGCGGGCCGACGCGAGGCCCATAAAACTGGACTTACTGGAGACCACCAGGAAAAGCAATGAGCACCAGCAAACTGCCTGGCCTCCGAATCGCGGGGCTTGGGCGCCTTCGAACCGTTCATCACTGCTTTTTTTTTTTTTTTAAATCCCGACAAAAGCGTTGCTGAAGTCACCGCGCCTCAACACCCCAAGACTCATCATCCCCTGGGCTGCGGAGCGGGTGCAATTCACGTCGGGCCGGCGCAGATTCCAGCGAGTCAGCACGACGCGGGCGTGGACGAGGAGTGTGTCCCTGGTACCCCCCACCCCGCACCGACGCGGGCTGACTTTTTTTCCCAGGGCATCTTGCAACACGCCCCCCTGCGCGACTCGGCAACACGATTCGCCCCGGGCCCCGCGACCCCCTCGGTAGGACATCGAGTGTGTGTTTGCGGGAGGGCCTTCTGCCCCCGTTCCTCCGAACTCCCAATTCTGGTTTCCCGACATCTCGACTCGGTTCGGACGCCGGGCGCCGCTTGCCCCCTCGCTCCTGCGGACAGTCGGGCCCCGGGGGTGGGAAAAAGTCCCCGCCGGAGCGAGACGGGCAGCGGCGGGGCAGGAAAAGGAAACTTCCCTTCCGGACTGGGCGCGGGGCGAGGGAGACGCGGGGATGATAGGGCGGAGGCTCCGCGGCCCGGAGCGGTGGGGGGGCGGGGGGACGTGCGGACCCGCCCCAGGAGAGGGAGGTCACCGCAACCCCGAGGCCCAGCTACGGGGGTCCAGGATGGAAGCCCCGGGTCCCGGCCCGCCTCGCTGTGCCCGCGGCGCGACGGTTGGGGCTGCAAAAAAAAAAAAAAAAAAAAACGGCTGCCCGGCTGCTCCGGGGCCCCAGGCCGCGCCCATCGGCAGCGCCGCGGCCCGCAGCAGGCCCCGGCGAGAGAGAGGTCGGCGACGCGGCGGGCCGCCGCGGTGGCCGCGGTCGCTCCGCCGGCGAGGGTGGGTGTGGGTGGGGTTGGCGGAGAGGAGCCCCCTCCGCTCGGGACGCGGGCCACCCGGGCGCGCCGCGGTCGACCCCCTTACCTGCACGGCACGACTCAGGAAGGTTCCGGCGTCGGCCGCCAGTTTCTTCACGTTGAAGTCCATGATGTTCATCCTGGGCGGCAGCCGCCGGGCGGAGCCGCCGGCTGACCTCGCGGGGAGGCGGAGGCGCCGCGGCGGCCGGGGCTGGGGCGGCCGGGCGACAGCCGCGGGGGCGGACGTGGTGGGTGCCGGGAGGCGGCGCCCGCCCGCCGCCGCAGCTGTCGTTTCCGTGAAGGAGGAGTGAGAGCGGGGAGGGGGTGGGGCGAGGCGAGGCGAGGCGAGGCGAGGGGCGGGCGCCGGGCGGCGGGCCGCGTGCCCGGGGCGGCGGCGGCGGCGGCGGCGGCGCGCGCGGCCTGCGGGCCCCGGGGAGGGGGTGCGGCGAGGCGGGTGGGGGGCGGGGGAACCCCCGCACGGACGCGCCGCGGCGCCCCCGGGCCAAGGGAGGGAGGGAGGAAGCGCCGCCGGCCGCGGACGGCGGGGAGGCGGAGCTTTCCGGTCGCTCGGGGCGGGAGCGGCGCCCCCTGCAGGAACGCGGCGGAGCAGCCTCGGATTGCGCGTCCCGGGCGCCAAGGGGCCGCTGCGCGTTTGCAGTGAAGCTCCCACCCCGAGCCCGCAAGACCCGAGGGGAAAAAAAAAAAAAAGTAGCTCGTCTCCTTGCTTTTGTCTTCCAAGAGAAAAAGACGGGCATGACAGCCTCGAAGGACAACGACTGTCAAGTTAGCGCCCGCTTCCGGCCCTCCCTGCGCTGCCGGCCCGCGGCTAACCAGGCTCAGTCACTGACTGCCCAGAATCCTGAGTCCTGAATCAGGTGCCGGTCCACCACCTTGCTTGAAAGCTCTCGGGTTGACCTGGCTACTGCATGGCCTTGCAGTTGTGGTTAGGGATGTAGGGATAGCGAGGGAGGCAACCCTTGCTCTCCTGGTGCCTATAACTTTGTTGGTAAGACACAACATGAATAAGTGGTTACAAGTGTGATGAAATGCCAGGGAGGCATCCCCAGCGCTCTTCAACGTTCCCTTCCAGGTTTTTCCTAGTAATCTGAATTCTGTAAAAAAAAAAAAAGTGCTATGGGGAGGTGACTTGGTGATAGAGCACATGCTACACCTGTGTGAGGACTGGGGTTTATTCTCCAATATTGCACCCCATACACAGTGGGGGTGGGTGGAGAACACTTCCTCGGCATACTTCAAATTTCCCCCAAAGCATGGTTTTTCTTTTCTTTTCTTTTCTTTTCTTTTCTTTTCTTTTTGGGTCACACTCAGCAATGCCCAAGGTTTACTCCTGGCTCATCACTCAGGAATTTCTCCTGGTGGTGCTTGGGGAACCATATAGGATTCCAGGGATTGAACTCTGCCGCATGCAAGGCAAACGCCCTACCGGCTGTACTCTTGCTCCGGCCTGTTTTTTTTTTTTTCCTTTCTATCACTTTAAGTCTTTATAAAAGCATGATATGTGTTAGACAGTTTTTTCTTTTTTTTTTTTCTTTGAACCACACCCAGGTCATATAGCTAGACTTTACTCCTGGTTTTATGCTCAGGGATCACTCCTGGTAGGCTCTGGGAACCTTACACAATACTGGTGACCTGTGTGCAAGGCAAGAGCCCTACCTGCTGCACTATTGTTCCAACTCCCCCAATCAGTTTTTTTTTTCCTAGTAACTGGCAAGGTCTTCCATACTTGGTGTCCAGACTAATGACATCAAAAGTGAGGGTAATCTTTTGCAAACTACAACACCCAATAAGAGAGAACAAAAGGAAATGCCCTGCCACAGAGGCAGGGTGGGATGGGGGGGATGGGAGGGGATGGGAGGGATACTGGGATCCATGGTGGTGGTGGGAAATGGGCACCGGTGGAGGGATGGGTATTTGATAATTGTATAATTGAAACCCAAGCACAAAAATGTGTAAGTCTGCAACTGTACCTCATGATGTCTCACTATTAAAAAAATTTTTTAATAAAAAAATTTAAAAAAGTGAGGGTAAATCTACTTCTTGCAAAATGATCCAGTGGACTGTAAAAATAAATATTGGAAGTTCCGTTGTGTATATCTTGAGCTAGTAAATAGAAAAGAACTTTTGTTTCATTATTATTTTAAAAAAACATTAGTTGGTACCTGATATTAATAGATGCACACCATACCCAGTAAATATAGGCGCTAGCCTAAGGGAAGAATGGGAAAGTTACAAGTGAAGAGAATTGAGATTAAAACTTTCTTAGTTTTTTGTTTTTGAGCTACATCCAGCAGTGCTCGGCTGCTACTTCCAACTCTTTTCCTTGGAGCCATTTGAGTTATCACTCTGACCCAAACTTAGTATTTAATCTTTTGATTATTTCCTTCAGCATATGTTTACATAATACAGTGTGCCTGGTTAAGTGGATTTCCCTATCTTACTTTTCTTCAAATAAACCTTAAGAAATGGGCATATAGCCTGAAGAGTTTTCCTTAAAGAAAAAAATTTTGCTCGAGCGTGCCCAGTAACTTCTCCATTGGAGACTTTTGTTGTTACTGTGTTTGGCATATCGAATACATCATGGGTAGCTTGCCAGGCTCTGCTGTGTGGGCGAGATACTCTCGGTAGCTTGCTGGGCTCTCCGAGAGGGGCAGAGGAATCAAACTCGAAAAAAGTCACTGTCACTGTCACTATCCTCCCGTTGCTCATCGATTTGCTTGAGCGGGCCCAGTAACGTCTCCATCATGAGACTTGTTACTGTGTTTGGCATATCGAGTATGCCTTGGCTCTGCCGTGCGGGCGAGATACTCTCGGTAGCTTGCTGGGCTCTCCAAGAGGGGCGGAGGAATCGAACTTAGGTCGGCCATGTTGGCTGCGTGCAAGGCAAACGCCCTATCCACTGTGCTATCGCTCCAGCCCATTATCATTAGCATAAATATTTAGGAGGTCTGGTTTACTTAAAATTTTGGGGTGGCTTGGGGTCACACTGGGAGTGCCCAGGGCTTACTCTTGGCTCTATGATCAGAGATTACTCCTGGTGGGGCTCAAGAACCATATGGGGTGCCAGGGATCAAACTTGTGTCAACTGCATTCTATGGCAAGTACCTTGACAATTGTACTATCTTTCTGGCCCCCTGATTTTATTTAATTGATATATTAAATAAGTGGAAACTGAACTACCTTTTGCTATACGTTCAAGGGATTTTTCACAGGTATAGCAGATGAATTGTGTGGTGGGCCTGAAAACAGGGTTAAATTAAAGTGCTATAATCGGGTCAGCTGTGATATTGGGTACTTGGAGCCCAAGTGCAGCCTTCTAAAGAATCATTTTTATTTCAGACGCCAGTTACAAGTTCAGGAGGCTACAAGCTAATCACTTTTGGTCAAATTTGGGTTCCCTGTTACCCTGAAGGGCTGGAGTGATAGCACAGCAGTAGGGCATTTGCCTTGCAAGCAGCCGACATGGCCGACCCGAGTTCGATTCCTCCGACCCTCTCGGAGAGCCCGGCAAGCTACGGAGAGTATCTCGCCTACATGGCAAAGCCTGGCAAGCTGCCAAAAGAAAAAAATATATAACAATATAATAAATATATAACAATAAAATATAAGTAAACAAGAAACTCTAGAGCTGGTATTTTGATTTGTGGAATTTACTAGGAACTTTTTGTTTGGTTGGTTTTTGCAGTACCAGGGTTTGAATCCCTAATGTCTGATGAATGCAAGGAAGTGCTTTGCCACTGAGCCACATCTCTAACCCAGGAAGATTCTTGTAATATGTACTAAAGATGAGTAAAACATGGTTCCAGACTTTAAGGAAGTCAGTGGGAAAACAGACGTGGAAAATAAAACAGTGAGAACTGTAAGTACAAAAGTTTACATAGATATGGTAGGGCCTAAAGTCTTATCTTAGGGTACCAGATGGGTTTAAGCACCTTCCTTGCCTTACTCAGAGCTTATTTTTTTTCCATTTATGACCCTTTTCACTGGAGAAATATAACATGAGATTGTGCTACCAAAAACTTGGTTTATAATGAATTTTTGATCATTTTACATTCAGAAACTTTTCACTGTTGCCTAAAGCTTCACAATTCTTATATTCAGTTACATAACCCCATATAGAGTCACCACCCACAATTTTAGAAACCAAGGATCTTACCTGTTCCCTTAACCCTCAGTTTCACGTTGAATGCTCTCTGCTCTGGTATTTTGTGCCCTTTTAAAATTTCTGCTGCCTGAGTATAAATAACAAGTACAAATAAAATATATATTACAAAATATGTAAGCATAGGTAAGTATATGTTTATTTGCACTTTACTCAGCATTACTTGGTATTTGAAGAGGAAGGGTTTATATGTTTTCTAGTTCATTGTTCATCCTCTTTAAGTCTGCAGACCTTCACTTTTTTACATACTGCTCCATACTATAACAGGTAGTTGTAACCAGTGATTTTTCATTCCGGTTTTCAGCTTTTCAATACCTGTGGAACTGCACTGATTTGTGGGTGAGTGGTTGCAGAATGATACCTAGTTTGCTTATATTTATTAAGGGTTTCTATTGTAAAGATCAAGACATGGAAATACAGCTACAACTAAATTGGAATCTATTTTATTATGAAGAAATTCAGAGGTAGGCAGTTTTCTGTTTTTATTTTGCAATTTTTAGTACTTAGTTTTTCTTTTCGTGTCATGATGATGTACATCTTAGACAATATGTGTATCTTCAAGGAAGAAAAACCGATGAAAGCAAAATGCACTTGCAAACTGAGTCTGTGTTAGTTTTTTGTGAATCAAGAAAAATATTTTTTCATAGACCCCACCTTTTATTTATACTATATGGGCTAGAAGTTGAGTCATTTGATTTCATATAAATGCTATGGAATTTGGTAAATGCAACATACCTCATTGAACAAAATAACGTTATTTTCCCTCTACTTTATTTGAACACTGTAGTTTACAAAGTTGTTCATGATGATTTTTTATAGGCATTCAATATTCCAAAATTAATCCCATCACCACTGTCATCTTTGGTTCACTATTGACTCTATATTCTCAACCACCCCTCATGCCTGGCCCCATAGCAGATCCACAATTATTTATTATATATTTCTTGTTACCAGTAAATGGTCAACAGAGCACTGTAGCACTATCATCCCTTTGTTCATCAATTTGCTCGAGTGGGCACCATAATGTCTCCATTGTGAGACTTGTTACTGTTTTTGGTATATTGAATACGTCACGGGGAGCTTGCCAGGCTCTGCCACATGGATGGGAT